AATAAATACATTTTTTGATGATTGGCATCATAAGATCATAAAATGACTGCTAAGTAATTGGAAAAACCATTGGCCAGAAGTCCACTCTTCTCTCTAATACCAGTGCGTACACTCATGAACACGTCTTCACACATTTCCTCCCACTCTCTCTTTCTCACACACTTTCCTCTTTTCTCGGCTCAAATAACCATGCTCATCAGGGCCCAAGGGGGCTTCCATTTTTCAGCGTTGCCATGACAATCCAACGAGGAGGGGGTGTTTAGTTTGACTGGTGCAGTCACCTTGATAAATGACCCTCTTATTGCTGCCTGTCTCCCAGGGAATACTGTACACACACTCCGTCTCTCACACACACACACACACACACACATACCACTAACTCTCTCTCCCCCAGTGGCTAGCTGTCCAGCTGACACACACACTCAGATCACTTTACATGCTAATTGGGCGACAAGCCCTTTAACAAATAGCTATTTAATGAGTTTCTCCTCTCCACTGCAGGGCAGAGCCTGTCTGAGTCTACAGGATGGTAGACTGCTGGAGCTCTGGGAGAAGGAAGCCATTCAGAGGTCACACAGGCTGTGTTTACATGCATGGAGTAACCAGTCATAGGTCATTCTCTGGTGCACGTAAAGGGTCAGTTCACACAAATCACAATAATATATGTGAATAATTTGAGATAATTGTCTGATTTTTATCACATCTCAATATGATGAAGTCAAATGAAGCAAAGCACTAAAAAACTTTCCAGGAGCAACGTCTCTGTTACGCTGGATGGTTCACAGATCTCGCTATGAGTTTACATTGGAAGTTATTTTTGCCGAAGGCATAGTCCCTCTGAAAACTGCTTAACAGTGTGTTCTGTAGATTATCCAGAGGACCAGAAACCTTGTTTCTGGAAAAACACTCTGCTGTTCAATATTTCAATGTGATTTTTCACTGTTTCCATCCATCAGTCCATCCAGACTGATATGAATTATATTTCTGTTCATCAAGTACAGATAGAGAACATGCTTTGCCCATCTGAGGAGAGAACAGGGGTCTCACATAAGCCTCCAACAGACTGAGATTTTAGCAATCTTATAAATTTTGTCCAAGCTACAGCATGGGACATGGATCTAATAAACTTGGGGACAACATCTAGTTTGATGTATGCAGACTGTATGATGACAATGCCTACTGAAACACGGGCAATGACGTAAGAATAAAACGCCATCAGCGTGTGTCATCCATCAGCGTTACTAAAGTGGAAAGAGAAAAATGAAAACAAACATGAATCGAGCCCTTGCTATAGTGACATTTATGTGTGTCGATAAAGTCTGAAGAAGAGGAGGAGAAAGTGGACGCAGTCATGGCTGTGGAAAGAGGCCAACTTGGTATGCCAATTTTGCAACGAGAAAAAATGTGCAGAAATTAAAATGTAAAGAAACACATTGGGGTTTTCTGCACATTCTGGCATTCAACCTGTCTTCTTGTTACTCTAACATGTACAAAACAGGTTTTTGATTTGATGCCACAAGGGCTGGGCGTTGTATTAAGCGATTTAGAGAAATGGTAGTTGAACTTTTTTTGTTTTTACTGATTTGAGTACCTCATGTAACTGGTTAAGAATGGACAGAGTTATTTGTTTTTCATTATTCCCTGGGTTTCATATAAACATTACTGAAGTACAACACTCTCTAACAATGGACCAAAGCAGCCTAATTACAGGTGTGATCCCGTGATAATGCCAGGTCACTGTGTCAGTGTCTTAAGGCCCTGACACACCAAGCCTATGGTCAGCCGTTGACCAAAGTCAGGCTGTCGGTGAGCGTCTGTCGCCCTAGTTTTTGCGGTGTGTCCCGTGCCGTTGTCGGCACTTCGCCGTCAAAGTCAGCGGCTTTTCGGCCAATTGAGCATGTTGAATCGGCAGTGGAGCTTGTCGGTGAGAGAGATCACTCTGATTGGCTGTTCAGGTTTTATTCCCTCGCCCCTGTGGCGAGTGAATCTGCCTGTAGTGAAACCAGGGCTAACCAGTGCTTCCTCCTCAGGCTCCACTTCACTCAGCTGCCCCACAGCTGAGTGAAGTGCTTCTTCCCACTTTAACCTGAATAACAAACTGAAGCAAGCTGGGAGCGGCTAGCGGAGCGTTAGCTGCAGCATGACTGGAGGGAAGCACAGCCAGTTAGCCTCCGCTAGCCTCTGAGCTAGCCCTGGCTCTCCGTTTGGATCCAACCGGAGCATCGAGCCCTGGTTTGTTATTCAGGTTAAAGTGGGAAGAAGCAGCGGGTATATCGGGCAGCTGAGTGAAGTGGAGCCTGTTGAGGAAACACCTGGACTGTCTGGATGTAATAGTCCGTGGAGGTGCTGCGGTGCTCAGCTGCACAGATAGGAAACCCCTCGGCTGACAGGATGTACCACTCTCTCACTCCGCTCTCTCTCACGCAGGCGCAGAACGTACGTGCTACTTGGCCGTCGGATGTAGTCCGTGTAGTGTGTTCAAATGCAACTGACAAAGGGCCGTGATTTCATGAAAGACATGCAAGATGACACGTTGTACCAGAGGCCAACCATTGCTTGTGATCTGTAAAAACCTGTGTGATGTGCACAATGCAAAGGTAAATCAACAGGAGGGGCCAAAACTAGGCAAAACAATTTGGACATGCAAGTCTTTTGATTTGGGCCTCGAACTCTGTCCTAAACATAGACTCAGCTGTTTTTGGGGATAAAGTGACAAATGGCTGTGCCAGACATTGATTTTTTGCCCGATGCTGGTCTGATCCCACACCTGTTGGATCGGGCCTGTATCAGGCTGAAAAGGATCCTGGTGCAAAAAGTCAAATATTATGATTTAGTTTTACCTTTCAGAACAAATTACATCGTTCTGCTCCACTATACGAAACTGTACCCACATTTATGCTGATGGTACTTATGTCAGCAGGTGATACAATAGATGCTCAGTTTTTCCACTCTGTCAGTTAGAATTACTTAATACAGCAAAAAACCTTTAGCAGAAGAACAGTTAGCATCAGCGATATAAAAAAGACAAACGAGCAAGTGGGTCTGCAGGCTCAGAGTTTTTTCCAGGCCATTTCTCTTTGACCAGGGGGCCCGAGCCCTCATCCCCGATCATAAAGCTATCAGCCTCAGAGGGGAAAACATCCTCCACGCTACAGTAAACCAGAGAGGAGGAAGGATAATGTATCTCTGCTGGCACCCCTGACAATCATCAATTATTCACACACAGGCACTCTAGAATCTGAAATAAACACACACACACTCACAATGTACAAACACATACATGTTCCTCCTGCACTGAGAGAACCATACAGTACATACACTTTGACAAGGAGAGGAACAGATGGAGTGTTTCCTTATTTATATGCATACAGTAAATGCTGCGATGTTCATTAAGTTTTTTTAGGTTACTAGATTAGATTTTCTAAGGGAAAATCTCCAATACAAATCTTAAGATATGATACTAATACTAAATATTTCAGTCAGTTGTTGTAGAGTTTTACAGCAGTGGGAGTCCATCAGAATCAAACGGCGAGGGTAATTTCTAGAGACGCTGACTTGCACCAACATCAAGCTATCACCAAGAGAAATTCACCACAGAACAGGCAGAGGGACAAATTCAGACACTAACTGTGTCATCAACAGACCACAATGCACTGCATGAAAATTTGGTGTGTTCATGCTGCTTCTCTGGCAGCCACAGGCGCTTACAAGGTAGGTTGGAAATGACAGCTGGTGCATACACGCACTAATATGAACTAAGTGCTCTTTCCTGTGTGCGAGATGTACAATTCATAGAGGTTTCATCAAAATAAGATCAGTAGGTTAGCAATGAGATAATTTCAAAGTTTGAAATAGGGACTTTTAATTACAGCGATGTGTCATTCCTCAAAAGCGGCATGAAAATTGGGTCTGCAATGTCTGAGAATACAGTGTAAAGTAGTTTACTGGCTCAATAAATTGGCTTTTAAGTGCTGCAACGATCACAATTTTTTAAATGTTGGAACACAAAGACAACTTAAGCTATATGAATTCTGTCAGTGATGGCTTCAGTGAGTTGACAGTCTCAAATGTAAAGCTGAAAATATTAATATAGTGAGGTTTATCAGAAAGACACTTTGAAAATAGACTTGTCTTACAGGAACAGAAGCAGATTAAGAGGAACAAAACTAATACAAAACTAATAAGAGATTACATTACATTTCTCTGAATGCTGTGCAGTTTTACTGTACAAGCTGAAACAAGATACAGAGCAGAGTGACACAAGAACAGGGGGAGAGAAGGAGATGATTTCCTAGCTGATGAGGAATTTGTTCAGTGCATGAAATATGTGGACTGTTAAAAGATGGGGATTCCAAGAAAATTACAGAAATAATAATCGTCTATTTGCAACAGGGAACTATTGCATGAAAGAGCAATGATGCCGCAGACCAGCACTCTGAATCCTGGGAGTCAAGTGGAGAGTCAGAGTGTGTGCTCGTGTGTACGTGCATGCTTGTGTGTGTAATTTGAAGTTAACCAGACTACCGGTAAAGAGAGCTTGAAGGAGCATGAAAAGAGGAGGCACTGTAACAAACCAGAGATGACACACAAGCATGCACAAATACACACACAAAGACACTATGAAATATCTGCACACAGATGATAATGCACTGATAATGAAATCAACCACTGCATACTCATTTTCATCTACTGTACACAAACATGAACCTCCCTCTCTCCTCTCTCTTCCTGTTACTCACACACAAGTTTTACACACATCCATCAGATACATGCATGTTTATTGACACTTGTGAGGACCTTCACACTGTGCCCTATAAACCAAACCTAAACCTAAAACCTGGTCTCAACTATAAACCCAGATTTGAATAGTTCCCTTAAGTGAGGAGCAGTAAAATGCCATCACTTTGAAGGATTTCCCTCATCTATCCACCTGCAAGCATGAGGACCTCAGAAGTACAGAAAAATATGAACACACACGTGGTTGGTGCATGACTACTCACAGCCTCTCAGTCCCTCTGGGGATGTTTCTGGGTATGGAGTGGATCCCCAGGCCATGGCAGTCCACCGTGTTCCCCAGGCAGCTGCAGGGAGCGGGACACGCCTCCACACCTCCTCGTCCTGCCACCAGCGCCAGGATGCCCCACGCCAGCATCGTCCGCAGCCCAGATCGAAGAGCCCGGCCCGGGGCCACTGCCAATGCCGCCGTCCCACAGCCTCCTGACCCAGCTCCATCCCTGCTTCTCCCAGCAGGCATCCTACTCTCCTGCAGCACTCCACCACACTGCAGAAACCAGTCGACAGATCCTATCCCCTCCCAGGGATGACTGACCACCAACACCAGCAGCAGTGCAACCCCCTCCAAAAGTGGACGAAAATGCTTAAAGTACAATGAGTAAAATGCTTAAAGAGGCTGAGACAGACAGCAGCACAGCCAGGTGAAGTTCAGCTTGGACTGAGCGGCTGCAACTTGATGCCAAAGTGGCCTTTCAGAGAGTGAAAGATAGAGGGGGAAAAAAGACAAGTATATCCTCTTCTTCTTCTTCTTCTTGTCCCCAGCTTTAGAGCTCCTTCCAATTGGCTTCTCTTCTTCTACTCTCCTGTGTGTTCTCTGCTCTCCCTCTCTCTCTCTCGTGCAGCCGTACAGTGTGTTTGCCTCTCCCCTCCACTTTTCATTGAGTCATTGTGCACTGAACAGTGAGCCACTAGAAAAAAAAGAAAAGGGGGGGACTCCCTCACTCCCTCTATCTCACACACACACAGAGCAATCATCCATCAAAAGCTTTTACAAATAACAGCACCAAGACTCCTCCCACGCCACCACCCCCCCAGTCACACACGCACATGTACACACACACACACACTCACTCACTCACTCACTCACTCACTCACTCACTCACTCACTCACTCACTCACTCACTCACTCACATACACAGCAGCAGCACCCGGAGTGAACTCACATCTATTCAGTGACAGCAGTAGCGGGAGCCGCCACCTCCAGTGACGGCAGCCTTTTTCTCTCTCTCTTCCCCTCTCCCTCTTTCTGTCTATCTCTCTTGCCCACATGTGCTCTCCTCCCCTGGGGAAGAAAAGAGCCTAAGGCTGCATGGACATGATGAGAAGAGAGAGAAAGAAAGGGAGGGAGAGAGGAGAGGAGAGGAAATCGTGATCACCCTGAAGCATCCGACCGGGAAGCTCCAGCACAAATGTGAGGACTGAAACGGAGAAACAATTTGTGGAGAGAAAAATGAGTAAATGTGAAATAAAAGAAGCAGGCAGGGAGTCCTGCTGTTAAATGAGATAATATTTTTTTGCCACGGCTCAGTGCCAAGATAGCACACCGGGCTGCAGGAACTTGGGTTGCTTGGGGAGGGAGAGAGGGAGGGGGGTTTCTTGTGAGACTGGCATAACTGGAATGCCATAAGCTGCCACAGAGCTTACTCAGAAGTCTATTATGAATTCACTGGCAAGGCTCTGAAATTCAAATGGAGCCTGGCTGAGGTTTTTTTTTTTTTTAATCTCCAAAGAAACGCTGGCTTCATCTTTTGTGATTGCCATATCACCAAGGAAAAGAGAGGAGAGGAAGAAATCTGGATCATCAGGAGTGTGGTGCAGGGTTAAAACCACAGAAAACTAAATCTACCATTTTACTACATTTTTGGGGTAAAAACAAAAACTGTAGGACTGCAACATTTCTTTTATCATGGACTAATCTGTCAGCCCCCTTCCCCAATTAATCTATTAATGGCTAAACCACAAATTGACAGAGAATAGCGATAATTGACATAATTTCCCAGAGCTCAAAGTGATAGATTCAAATTGCTAATTTTGTCTCACCAATGATACAATGATCTGCTATTTACATCAGTATAAAACAGAACAAAGCTGCAAATAAACTTATCTGAAGCTGAAAATGTTGATTTTGCTTTATAAATGACTTTCTACCATTTGACTGAGTAATCAACTAACCTTGGAGCACTAAAGAACTGCAAGATAAATGAAGTTGTTTGACTCGAAAAGAGCAGAAATGACTGGCTCTTTGTTTCTTTGATGTTTTTGTTTGTTTGTAGCTGTTATCACTTGCATCACGACATCATCTGTGATTTGTACAGTATTTCATGGGGTAATGCAGAATATAATTAGATCTTCTCTGAATGACTGATTTGATTTAGCGTGTGTTTGCAGGTTGACAATCAACAACCGGAGGGCACGGTTTACCCAGCTTTTTATTTACCACCATCCATGAGTGATTATTGCTCGTGGCCTCACTTTGTCTTCTCCCCGCAGACGCAGTATGACGGGTTAATTTAACCAGGCGCTCTTCAGAAGTGATGGAAAACAAATTGGCCACAGGCAGAGCCCCGGCTGCAGCTGAATTGAATGACTCATTCGGGCGATAATCTGCAACAAAGGGAGGGACGAGATGTTGACATCTCCATGGGGGTGGACCCCCTTATTTCTGGGGGCCATAATAGCTTTCTGAGGCAGGGGTGGGTGGGGAAGTGGGGGGGGCTTTTACTCCAGACGCGTCTGAATTGATTTCTGGAACGACAGAGCAGATGCTTTTGTCTCAAAACGCATCAATTCAGAAAACCCTTCAGATCAAGTCCCTGCATTTAATATCATTAGACACAATAAACGTCTAATCCCACAAACACAAGGAGACTTTTCTTGTGACTAATTAGCAATGCTGATAAATAGATTATTTGGTTACTTTGATCAATTAAAACAGCAGAGTGTGTGACAAGTGTCCTCCTGGTGTGATTTTTAAGATGCAATTTCAGCATACGCAGCAATATAAAGGTTCAATGTAAGATACTGCTTGATGTTCCAGCATATCAAACTTAATTCATTCAGCTGACAAACACCTCTCAAGCTGAAACAGTAAGTCGAGTAATCCGTGTCGAGTAAAAAAGTGTCCACCGTAGCTTCAGATTCTCAACTGTGAGTATTTGCTGCTTTTCTCTGTCTCACATGATGATAAACTGAAGATGTTTGGTGTTTGGACTGCTGGTCTGCAAAAACAAGCTATTTAAAGATATAATCTCTAGCTCTGGGAAATGGCAATGAGTATTGACTATTGATGACTATTTTCTGACATGTAATACACCAATGATTACTCAAGAAAGTAATGGACACATAAATCAATAATAAACAGTTTTAAAAACTAAGATTTCTGCTTAATTAATGTGTTTGATTTAAAGCTTAGATTCTCTGCCCGTGCCCGAACCCGACCCGGACCCGTCGGGCCATAATTTCCTGCCACTGTCCTCGGGCTCAGACGGGTCGGGCTCCTCATGATAGACCTAAGCTATGGAACCAGCTACTTATCACCCCTTGACGGCGCCACTGGCCGCGCACATGTGAGCAGTCGACGGTGAAGTATGTCGGCTTGGTCGAGGGTACCAAGTGCAGCACGATGCTGGTATATAACAGCAAAAAGATGGGGACCTCGACACTTAATATTAAGAGGCACATGACAAAGGCTTGCCATAGAAAGAAAGACAAGAGTCAGCCTTCAACGTCCACATTTGTATCCTTAAAAAAAAAAACGTTGGGTTTAAAGCGGGCTCAGGCTCATAATTACAGGGACATAACATGGGCTCGGGTGGGGTCGGGCTGTATTTTTTGGTCCCGATCTAAGCTCTAGTTTGATTTTTAAGTTGCACTTGACCAAAGTGCCTAAATTAAATGCAATAAACACAGATTAAAGGTTCAGTCCGTAGGATTTAGCAACATCTAGCAGTGAGGTTGAAGACTGCAACCACCTAAAACTTCTGCGGGCCAAGCGAGTAGGAGAGCTACAGGGAATAGCTCTACCTAGAGCAAGTGTTCGGTTTGTCCATCCTGGGCTACTGTAGAAACTGGCGGACTCCGCAGAAGACAACCCACTCTGAATGTAGATATAAACAGTTCATTATAAGATAAAGAAAACACAATGATTCTTAGTTTCAGGTGATTTCACACTAATGAAAACATAGCCTTGAATACTATATTCTATTTCTGCCAATATATCCCCCTAAATACTACACACAGGACATTAAAGAGTGAAGCATGTCATCAAATAATCAAAAGTTGTTCCAATACTAGTATCAGAAATGCCTGTGATGTTGCCTAAAATGCTGGGTCACATATCAGCAAGCATGTAAATCTATAGACTGATCGGTATTTGTTGATAAACTTTAAGTAGTTTCACACCCTCATAAAATATCAGTTGTCCTGGAAATCTATTTGTCTTTGTTGCTCTAAAACCGTAGCCTACACAGGAAGATGCACTGTGCAGCCACTGGCAGCTACTGTTTTTAGAGCAGCAAAGAAGGACTGATTTCTGGTACGGAGAGTAATGTTAGCTATTAGCAAAATGTCAAATTAGATAATATAAAAAAGTTCTGCAGCTTTAATTCTCTGTATTTATTTCTTTGATTTACAAAGGGTTTAATCTGAGAGCTTGTGTTTTACCTCTATCGAGGATTGGTAGTATACAGCTGTTAATATTTTTTTAAAACACAGTGGTATTGAATCAGTACTCAGTATTGGCCGATATGCAAGTTCAGGTATAGGAATCAGTTGTGTTATGTGTTGGAGCTGCCCAAGTAAGTTTTATTACCAGCTGTTTAGACTACTGCAATTTCCTTTTTACCAAACTACCCAAAAAAATCAATATGAAAACTACAGCTAGTCCAGAATGCTGCTGCTAGAGTGTTGACCAAAACAAGGAAAATGGATCACATTATCCCACTGCTAAAGTCACTACACTGGCTCCCTGTATCTTTCAGAATTGATTTTAAAGTTCAGATCACTGTGGTCCTCCACTGCTTTACTTTTAAATGTTTCTCATGTGTCCCATAAAAGTACTGGTGAGAGCACTTTCTGTTTTTACGCCGCTTAACTGTGGACTGTTACCTCTGGATATTAGAATGGCTCTCTCAGTATTTTTAAACATAAACTGAAGACCTACCTTTTTAATCTGGCTTTTAATGTGGTTTTTACCTATTTCACCTGTTCATTTTTATTCTGTTTTATTTATTCATTTACTCTCTTTTTATTCTTTGGAGTTTTAATCATATCTTTTGTAAGGTTGTTCTGTTTTGGTTGGTTTTATTGTTTTGTGTCTGTGTCATTCCAATGTTGTCATGTGAAGCAATTTGGGCTGCATGTTTGTATGCAAGGTGCTATATAAATAAAGTTGAGTTGAGTAGCGTGTGTGCCCATTTTAGGCTGAGTCCATGTCAGCGGCTCGGTTTCGATTCTGACCCACAGTCCTTGGCTGCATGTCCTCCCCTCCACTCTCCCACCTTTCCTGTCTGTCCTCCTGAACTGTCATAAAGCCAAAAATGTCGAAACATTGTTAAAAAAGTAAAAAAAAAAAAAAAAAAAAAAAAAAAAAAAAAAATTAGAATAAAATAATAATAAAGATGCAAAACTCAAAATGACTACAAAGCATGAACATCTAAAAGGAGAATGCTGCCAAAATATTCAATATATGTTAATACACGTAAGACTGAGCATTATAGTATGATGTATGTCACATTGTTGCTTTATTAAGCAACACACTTGACCTGAATAAAAGCATTAAAAAAATTTACTGCAGGGGGAAACCTAATGCCCAGCACTAATTAATAACCTGTCAAGATTTTTCTTTTAAAGCATATAGATATAGTGAGACACAGGTATAGTTCATTATTCCTTTACATTGCTTTACTGATCTCGTCATTCATCTACACTCTCTAGAG